GTTGAAATATGTCAGCTGTAACTTCGCGCTAACTTACCGTACTCGGAAATTCTGATTTTGCACGGTATCGAGGTAGACTGAGCTTTTTGTCCCCTAACTATACAAAATAAAAGTAGTAGTATTTTTTACCTGAATAAAAATCCATTCTAATGGATGGTGCTTTTTGAAGCAGGCCAATGGAGCCAATAAGCTATTTATACTTATACAGTACCCTTGCTTAGTTAACGGTTATTAGCTGTCGACAAATTACACGGTGACTTAAAATATGGAAACCGTTTGAGTACTGACAGTTTTATTATTTACAAGCGATGGAGAGGTATGCGGACCACCACTGTTTGGGTCCCAATCGTCAGCAAATTTGGATTCATTATTATTTTGGCAGAAAACCATGATTTAAAATTAAATAGTCAGGACAGGTTCCACGATGGGTTTAAAGGGAACAAGGTATGAATTCTCATTGAGAAGACGCAGCAGTAGGTGACCATCTGCTAAATTTCAAAATACAGATGTGACGAACGCTTCCAAGCTCTGATGGGCTTGTGATAGCCTGAAAGAATTTAAAGATTGGTTTTTAAATAGAAGTCTGACTTAACTTGCAATACAACCCATTTGCAGGAATTATAGAGTTGACCAAAATAATCTCCTTTTTGTAATTTAAGGGTTTATATCTAGGATTATAGCTATATTCTATAGCAAACGTATCAAGGCTAAGTAAAAAAAATAACCAAGTTCGCACCAAACAGGGCTAACAGTAGAAACGAACAGTTTTGTAGCGGAATGAAAACCACATTTATGGCACACACATTACGCGCCAAATTTCCTTGATTCATGCACCTATTTTTCTGCAGCTCGGATGGACTATGATGAACGATTGCCGACTCACTATGCTCTGTTCACGGCCACCTGAGCAGCAAAATATTCGTGTATTATCGATCTTTAAGTTACATAACCAAGCCTGATGGGTAAGAGGCCTCGCATTTCTCTTTACAGAAGGATAAAGGAGGCGGGATTTGGCAGATTTCAGTGATTCATATAACCCCATTGTGAAGAGGAAGACTTTAGTATAGCCAACTGAGCTATCGATGTCCCACCGGGAGCCGTGAATTTTATCCCGCTTGAGTCACTTTACCCGCCCAGCCTTCTTTAACTTATGGTATCCATCAATTCTGATACAGTAAGCTAATGGCCCAAGCAGGATTTCCTAGGTACTCAGTCTGGGGTCACCCGGATGGCTATCATTTTTGGGCGGGGAAGTTTGACAGATTTCGATCCAAGTGTGATTAAACACACGGCTCTCGTTGGGGCCTTGATAACTCGGTTGTCAAGAGCGCTGGCTGTACTAAAGGCTTCAACTTGCAGGCGTGCGTTTGAATCCTACGGCCGAAATGTCCACATTTGGGTCAAATGAAGTGGATTTAGCAGGTCTTACGCAAACGTAGAGAGAGAGATTTGCCGCGACAATGAACAGGTCCATTGCTTCCTCTACCCTCCTCCTCTAGGTAAACCCATTCAATGCTGGATTCCTCAGGAGTTCACACGCGGCTGGGAAGAGTACGCTGAGAACTACTGTTGGGTGGCAAACACCTACTTCGCGATGGTAGATAAGAAACTGCCACCAGATGTGGAACGTCCGAGGCTCCAGCTAGTTTACTATCAGTGGGCGCCCATCGAGCTGGCCGTGCAGGCGCTCCTCTTCTGCCTACCCTGTCTCATCTGGCGCCTGGGTGTGCTGCACTCTGGCTTCAACCTGCACCGGGTCCTCCAGCTGGCTGCCGACGCCAG